TTTTAATTGTGAACTTCTCTCTTTTCGATATACACCAGAGCATATCTGTGATTGTTGATATACACCGGTGAGGGTCCGAATGTACAAGAGTGTAATGCAATATTCGATCTTTCACCGACGTATTTGGTGAATGTTGACATTCTCCGGAAGTCGACATTCTCGATTTTCGGACTTTCACGGTAACAGTCACATATAAAGGCTATTATCAGTCCTAGGAATATTTTAATTGTTTTAATGCATGCATTCATATTGTTTTTAATGCTACCTTATAAACCTGGGTTTGGTTAGAAATTCATAACATTTAGTTTCACATAGCTGATTTGGTTGTAATATGGCCTCATCGGATCTTTTATCATGTAATTATAGCAAATTTAAAAACATTTTATTAGTAGTAACGCTAAGATCATAATACAGTGGAACCTTTATCACAAACACCACTCATCATGAATACATTATTTGAAAAAAAGGGTGCCTCGATGATGAATAGTGTTCCTAGTTACAAATATCAGCTGCGAATAACGTTCAAAGACGCTTTGAGGTAATTTATATGGCAGAATTAAAATTCAGAGAGATCATGAAACATCTGTTCAATATTCTCTGTTACTTAAGTGTCATTACGGAAGACTGCCAGCAAACAGCATACAAGACCATCAATTCAATCTGGCAGAAATCATGGCCAAATTGTATTGCAGTCAGAAATTTTGAGGGCTTTGGCACTTAAAACACGTTTTGTGATTTAAGATATTTTGATTTTAGGCGATACCATGTGCTTGGAAGATAACAGTTAACACATGCAGGATAAAAATGAGCTCAACAATAAATAACTGCAACAGCTTCACATGAAACCGATATGAAGTTTAAATGTCTTTAGAGAAAGAGCAAGGAAGAAAGACTGATTCTAGTTCATTGATCCACGAAACTTTTCAAAATGGAGTAAGATGCAAAGTTTTCAAGCATTGATATCATCCTAATAAAGCTGTAATAAACTTATATGGTATTTCTCCCGTCTTCTTAGCATGGATTCGTAGTGTAATGGTCAGCACGCTCGGTGCGTGCCCGAGAGGTCCGTGGTTTGAGTCCTGGCGAGGGCGTTGCTCATTTTTCATTCTCTTGCTTCGAAATAATTTAATAGTCTCTACATTGAACGACTATTGTAACGAGAGTCTGAACGACTACCGTGACGAGAGTTTGAACGACTACCGTGACGAGACAAGGAACATAGGGAAAAAGTTAACATAAAGATAAACTGGTAATAAAACTTAATTATAAATGTAACATCTTTTATGTTTATATAAGTACGAGAGAGAGTATACTCTAGTGCAATGATCTCAAACTGATGACTTCCAAAGCAATTTAATACAACCCACAAATACATTTCGTATGAATTAAAATTATTATGACAAGAATTTGAATAAAACACGATTAAGGATTTTTATGTTTGGAGTCGAATTTTGCATTATTACCATTTTCATTTAAAACTATGTGATATAAATTGTATTCAAAGATTTGAAGATACATATTTGATGTTTTATTCGTACTTGTCAAAAGTTAAGTACTCTCAGCTACAAATTGTTACAATAAAAATCATTTACAAATACAGTTGAATCTCAACAGTTTCTTCCGCAGTTGAAAATTAATAATTCTAAGAAAAGAACCAACCTGACCGATGAGCAGCCAAAATGTGTAATGAAAACAATATTTTTCTCGAGCATTACAAATTCTATCAAAATCAAAATACCATCAGGTTTTGTAACCCGAAGCCGTAAGAAATAAAGAATTTAATAAAGATTTACATACAAGTATATACACCTTTTCTGTGTACGTCGGAGAAATTTTAAATACATAAAACGATGAGAATATGCTGTCATTATTTATTCGTATTCTACCTTTTTGGAAATATTTCGTAATTCTTTAATTTGTCATTTAATGGTTTAGTGGTTAATAGAATACACTAGAATTTTTAAATAAATTATCAATCCGAACAGCTAATAGTTAGTTGTCAATACGTTTAAATTACACATAAATTTCTTACAGATATCAATTAGCTTTCGAACCGGAAATAAATATAAGTTTGATTTTTTTATTCTTGGCTTCATTACTGTTAATGTTTATATATGTTTCGTTAAATATTTGATAAATAAAATTTTAAAAATCGAGTTACAAATTCTTATGTTGTTAGAATTTTGTTTTCATTTTGTTGAAAAACATTTTGGCCCGTCAGCTACTTTCAAATCGTGCGTTCAAAGCTGAGAACACTGCTCTATTGTAGAATTTATTATTTTATTATTTTCATTCATATAATACTCTGTTTCATTATTTTATTCTTATTCATTCTTATTTGTTTTCATTCATATAATACTCTGTTTCATTATTTTATTCTTATTCATTCTTATTTGTTTTCATTCATATAATGTACTGTTTCATTATTTTATTCTTATTTACTCTCGTTCAAATAATATGCTATTCCATTATTTTATTTAGTAGTATATCATCGATTGTTGTTAAGAGAATATTACATTTTTCACTTTTTTTGAATAATTTATTAACTAAATTTATTCTTATCATATATGTTACAAAACTATCCTGCTTTATACAGCATCCGTTGTTATATACGGTTTCACATATCCATGGTAATTTTTAGAATAGTTTGCCTGCGGATACGGGACTATTAATCTATTTATTATGCTCCTGTTCAGCACTATCCAATTCTTCACAGAGCATGGCTGATTCGCGTAATATCTATAGAACTTCAAATAACAGAGTATTTATTTTTCAACGCTAACCGAATTGGTGATCCTGCTCGTTGTTATATCTTCAAAATATCCCCTTTATTTCAATCTCCATCTTCAGAAACCTGGTTGTGTAAACAGGAGTAGTTAATCAGAAACATGCTGTTAATAAGGAGACTAAAGTTCTATATATAGTTCTTATCACTTATCATTCGGCTTTGTTTAGGATCTCATCGTCATCATGTTTTTCCTGCACTAACTTATTAAACTGTAGTCTGTTACCTTTTATGTTATTGTTACAGCAATAAGCAATATCTAGCAAGCGTAAAGCCATGATCTCCTGCTTCAATTTATTATATATATTAGAGCATTCATTGGTTTATATTGTGTGTTGTTTATTGTGCTTCTATTGGATACCATTAACACTGTACTGGCTCTGTATTTATACTATGGAGGTAGGAAAGGAAGGAGGGGCCAGTCGGCACTAGAAGTGAAGCATTACTTTGAAGCTTGGGTCACCAGATGGGGTGTTCTTTGTTTACATTCAGAAGCTCGCTTGACACGGTTCTGATAGTATTTCGACACACGACAGTTCCGTACAAATCGAAAAAGGGACACTTTCGCATGAAAGAAACATTCATACTGTGATGGATAATAGCAATTTGTATAGTTTAGTGACATTTAAGCAAAAATCACATCTTGGTTATTTTTCGATAACTAACAACAGCGCGATTTTGATTATGAATTTGTTTTATAAAATTCTAAGCTGTTAAACTACAAAAATATAGATTTTAAGAAAAATTTTATTCTTAAAGAATGAAAAATACCTTACGGTACATTTAAAAATTGTATACGTCTTTCAATACCCTGAATGAGTATTCGCTACTTTTTTATTTTCCAAACGCCAAAATGTTTAAATATAAAACTTTTTTCACATCCATATATTATGTTGCATATTATTGCAAAAAGCATGTATCTGCCTTTGACAAAATACATAAATATTTATTTAAATTATTTATAAATGTATTTGAAATGAAGAATTTATTCACTTATAAAACAACTGTGAAAGTACTGTGAAGAAATCTAATGATTAAATGTATCTAATTTATAATGATTATAAATGTTATCTAAATATATAATAACCTTAACATTGAATTGTAAACATAATTTGAAATCCTGTTGACAAATACGTTATAAAACTATTTAAGCAAGAATTGTTCGTATTGTAAAGCAATCTGTTAAAAGGTATTGTAAAGCAAATGCTATGAGATGCGCTCTTAAGAACGTAATAAAAAGTTTTGGAATATGTATTGTTGAAATGAAGGGTAAAAAAAAATCTGATAAATATAATTAAAAGAATTATTCCCCTTAGATTTTGTAATAACCCCGTTACAAGTTTTAAATAATACTTTAAAAAAAACTTATTTTATTTCCTTTCAGAAATGTTCAGAGAAAGTCAAGTACTATTTAAAGTATTTCGCTAATTCCTAATAATTCTCTAATTTAAAATGAACCGAATAGAGCATTAATTATAAATTGACTTACATTTTTCGATTTAAAAGATGCCTCAGAAGCCAAAAAATCATGTCATATTTAAGAAAGTATTTTAGGAAGAAGCTCTATAAATAGAAAAGAAATAATGCATAATTTTAATATTAATAATACAATAAACTTTGATCTTAATTTTTGTACCTTAACCGAATAAAATCGAATTACCTTAATTTTTTTTTCTAATGTAATTAACGAAAACTTGTGAAAATATTTCATTCAAATTAAACCATTCTGAGAAAACTGTCCTGTGAAAAGTATAGCATTTAATTCCGTTTCAGAATGAAATGTTGTTTAAAAATATGTTGTTTTCACATACTTAGGACTCTGAAGTGTTGTATAAAAGAAAATATATACATTTATATGTATATTTACGACGTAATTACAAAATATTTACATCCGTACGCGTCAAATCCCATTGAACTCAATGGTAAATGACCCAATGTTTTGGTCACCACGTAGGGATCGCTGGTGCTTCAGAGCAGGGTACGGGAGAAACTTGTTTAGGGCAACTCCATCTTACTTCCTACCTCCATGATTTATACACATTCTTTTTAGCTCTACCATTCGTGCCTCCCGGGTTTTTATTACTGTTATACCCCAAAGCTGTGTATTATAGATTTTACTAGTTGCGCATAACATGCAATATACTGCTGGCTATTCATTCTTTCCGAACACTTATGTTATTTTGCACAAGTATATTACTTCAAATATGATACTTACGTTACTTCGTCACATCGCAAATGTACTGCGTTTCATTGGACGATAATTAGATATGTCACATGTTGTAACACTTTTCTGTGTCTTCGTATATCCTTTTCATGATATAGCTGTCCATTCGGTGGCAAAGAGGAAATATATTTAGCTCAAATATTTAACTCAAATTTATATATATATTTATATCTTTAGAGCAGCTTATATCCATAAAAACAATTTTAACTCTATTAAGTATTACTTTGTTAATACATTATGTTATGTACTTACATTCTTAATTCCCAGTCACATATGTTTCCACTACGAGGGACTGGACGTCGAAAGGAAGAATTCTCAGAACCTGCACATTTCCACGAAATCTACGTAGCTAGATTACCATTTTTATTTACTAAACAGACTTGAACGCCAAACAGTAATCGATTATCGCTCAGATTGGGATCACGTGATCTTTCAGAAGGAGAACTTCCGTCTGAATGGGTGATCTCCACCCGAGATAGAGCTGCAGTCGAAACATTTTCGGCGAGCTTTCAAAAAATCCCGCATAGTTAGTACATCGTTTCCGTAACTAGGCGGAACTTCTCTTTCAGCACAGATGTTTTTCTAGGAATCCTCCCGTTAAACCAATGCTACCAGAATCTCGTTTCTCAGAAAAGTCCCATCGCTAGATGTGAAAACCCCTTTATATGCACAGAGATTCAAAAATACAGGCAAAATTTTAAAGACAGATAGGAGAAACCGAAATAAACAAGTTTTGTAACGGAATGTGTGCCCGGAAATGGTGTACAGGAAATGGTTGACGGTGTACAGGGCAAAGCTGAGCGCTATGTAAAAAAATTCTACTGGCATAAATTGCCATTTACCGTGCGAATGTCAGGAAGAACATATCGCTATACGAACGCAGAGCTCGCCCTCGTGCATTTCATTCATGAGCCTGCGGTTCTGCAGGCCTATATAAAATGTATGTTGTAGAGTTCCACTTTCGTATAGCGATGCGTACCACTCGAAATCTGCACGGGAAATGGTGATTTACAGCGCTTTTATTTACCGCTCAACAAAACCCTGCGCCTCCGCAAGGCGTCGTTTCCGCTCACACATTCCGTTACAAATTCTACTTACTTCTGTCCCCCTTTACCTGCCTCAATATATTTGCCCCATATTTTTTCAATCATACTGTGCATATGTGCTATACCTATTACTGCAATGCATTATGTAATGCATATTGCTACTGTACATTACTTACTATATTACTCTAAATATTACATGTACTCGGCTTTTGACAGTTTGAGCTAAGAGCTCATTGCGATGTTTTTTTTTTTTTTTTTTTTTTTTCCAAACTTCTTCCAGTTTTGTAATTACTTTAGTAATACTGAAAGACCTTAAAGCTATACTTAGACGTACATTATAAATAAAAGAACTATTATGCATGCGACATGCGACATGCGACGGAGGACGTGGGCACCACCCCTTTACCATATGGTTAATTGGTGTAGCGCCACGTCCACCAGTGTCAATATAAATATCAAGGACTCGGACGCCTAGGTGCATTAGATTTCACTTATTGCGCCTGACTGGCGTAAGATAAAATGTTCTACTGTACAAGGTTATATTCATGCAGGGGTATGATATGGAAACAGTAAGATGATAATGCATAAAACAATTATATGTGGAGATATGCTGAAATATAACTACCAACACAGATATCATAGATACATTAAACATTGTTACATAAAAAATCAATAATAACATGCTATTATACCTACATTAATCAAACATTACCTAAATATCAAGGACTGAGGGCACTAGTTGCATTAAAAATTTCACTTACTACTCCACACAGGGGCGCCGTTAAAATATTCTATGGTACATAGTTATTTACATGCAGGGGGGTTAAAAACATGGAAAAAGTTACTTAACAATTATTAACACCCAATATCCTAAATACATTAAACTTTTGTTACGTAAACATTATGACTTGGATACTTGTTAATTGGACAGACTTGCATGGATATCACAGACTCAGACGTTGTGCTTTAAGCTTCACTTATTGCGTACACAGCAACATATTAAAGTATTATGGTACAAGGTTATATATGTGCAGAGGTAAGTAAGGTTAGAAAACAGTAGATAATATGGCATAAGACAATCATTGTGGAGAATGCTGAATTATAAGATACAAACACTGATATCATAGATACATTAACATACATTCATGGAAAACATCTAGATACATTACCATACATTACACACGTTACATGAAATTTAATGTCTAAAATACTATATCTACATTAAAAAGGCGTAGCCTAAATATCAAAAATGAAGGCACGGTTGCATTAATCTTCACTTAACTGCCCATACAGGGACGTTTAAAAATAATCTATGTACATAGTATTACATGCAGGGATGAAACTTGTGGGAGAGTTACATAACGATTATGGAAACAATATTATATAAACACTAAACATATGTTACATAAACAATAGACTGAGATACTATGTTTACGACACATATCAAAGACTCGGATGCATTGCGCTATCTGGAGCATGTTAAAATATTCCATGGACATAGCCATGTAACATGCAGGGGGTATTTAAAACATGAAAACAATTACATATTAATGCATAATACAGTCATATGTAGAGACATGCTTAAATAAAATACAAACACAGATATCATATATACATTACACATAATTACATGAAATCAATGAGTGAGTTTCTACATAAACAAAACATTATATATATATATATCAAGGACTGAAAACTCTGGTTGCGTTTAAAACTTCACTTACTGCGCCTCACAGGTGCGTGTTTAGAAATGCTATGGAACATAGTTATTTACATACAGGGTTAAAGCATGGAAGACAGTTACACAAAATTGCATAGGATAACCATATGTGGGAGCATGCTACAATACAGAATACAGTCCCTGATAACATGGGTACAGTAAGCATATGTGACATAAAATCGGTACAATAAAAAAAAATTGGACAGTTATATGAATGAACCATGCTAAACTATAAAAAACATACATAAATATCATAAATATAAATAACATATACTGAGTACAATCAATAGTTTAGACACTATATTTACATTAAACACACGTTACATATAAATCAGCAGAGATACCGAAAAATGCCTTTTCATAATTCTGTATTCAACCCCCGGCTTCTAAATTTAGAAAGAAAGGATGAGAGTATAAAAGCGCATTTTTATGCTAATGAGACATTTTTAAAATCAAAAGGACGTTTCAGCGACAGTTTCTTATTTTTTTGTTTCACCCATTTTATGAATTTTTCTTTGTAGCGCTTACTGAATATCAAATCCTGTCATAGCTTTAGTTATATATTCTCCTCCTTTCAACGCTTCTTCCTGTTCTAAGAGATTAAGTGACATGTGACACTTTTAAATGATACTTAATTGAATATAATTACGGATAACCTTAAATTTAGCTTTTCCGAAGAAATAAAGGGCATCATTTTGACCGCACAGTTCTAGTCGTATTCCATGAAGGCTTTGGAGATTGGATGACTTAATTGAGGCAGGAAGGTAAAATTAAAGAATTTGCTTAATCCTTTATCTTGGGATCGTGTCTTAAATTTAATAACCTACTGCTGGGATCATATTTCATTATTAATGCATGTGTTAAGTTAATTTAATTAACATTCATTGTGCCTTTTAGAAGATACAGAGATGTAGATGTTTGTCACTTCCCTTTGACTTGAAGACAGTAATTGAAGAGAAGGTGATGTTAACGAGATTCTGGTAATGACTTCAATGAACTTAAACACCCGACTCGGCAAACAAGGAAAGAAAATTTGTCAATAGAGAGATGATTAAAGTTTGTTCCTGGTTAAATATTTTCCTTACTCTAAAACGCATTTACCCTCTTTTTGAGAAATCGAAGATAAAGTGTATGACGTCAATAGAATGGGTTTTATAACGCAAAGATAAATGTTTGGCAGTCAACGACGACTCTCTGGAACGATTTCTCATTAGGCCAATATACACTTAAATCATTGTTTAATGTGACTGTTACTTCTTCAAGCCATCAAGAAGACAAAGAGGATTAATTTTTCTTTCTTTCTTTTTTTTTTTTTTTTCCTTTCTTTAGTTTTCTAACCTCTTAAATGTCATGAGGTCTACGTCTGCAAAAATCTCTAATTCATACGACTAAAAAAATTAACTTTTATTTTTCACAGTTTTATACTTGTACTCCCATGTTTTCATGGCGAGTGAGATTAAGTTATAAACCTGTAATATTCTGCAACATGAGTCCATGTCAAATGAAAAACAAAATTGGGCATGTGTTTAGGAAAATGTTAAAAATAAATTTCTGAGTTAATGTTAGACCAACTTTAAATTGGTTATCATTTAACGGAATACCTAACTTGTAGAAACATTAGGTATTTTTTGAAATCAAGAGAGATGAAAAATGAGCAATGCCTCACCGGAACACGAACCACGGACCTCTCGAATACGCGTCCAGCATGCTGACCACTACATCACAAAGGCATGTTAAGAAGGCGGGAGAGATACCTTATAAACTCCCCCTTTTAAAGGGTGACTGGAAATTAGGGGACCCACTCGCCAAATCCTGGCGGTGGAGAATCATCATCCACCACCTTTCAGTGCGGGCGCCACTATAGAGACATTAGGTATTTTTTTACAAGAGCTATGAAAAATAAGCAATACCTTCACCGGGACTCGAACCACGGACTTCTCGAATACGCGCCGGGCGTGATGACCACTACACCACGAATTTATACTAAAAAGGTGGGAGAAATACCTTATGAACTATTCTACAAAAGTTTGTGTCTTATCCTTTTCTCATGAATGATATTAGGATGACGTAAACACATTATGGAAACAATGCGATCAAAATAGCAACACATGTAATAGTACAAAGGCAATACAAAGAGTTAAAATGTTTTTATTTTCATTTCTTAGAAAATTAACCCTATTACGTAATATATATGCCTAATGTACCAGTTTCTAAGCTATTTAAAGAATTCAACAAAAAGTTATTTTATCATTTTAATGGTTTTTGTCCTCTTACTTTTCACTTGACAAGAAGAAATCCAAGCATGAGAAAACTCATAATCGTGGTGGCCAACGAAAAGGTCCACCTCGACTTATCCAGCGGTTTGCATAAAGGGCGGCCACGTAAATCCTGACGTCAGTTCTAAAACATGAGGGTGCAGTATCCTGGTGCAACCAGATTCTGCTTCGAATAGATGCAGGGAAGTCAGCTCATGATTGCGGCAATAAGGCCAGCAGTTCTGACAAAGCTGATGGAATACGTGTACCCGTCAAAGCTTCGAGTAGGTAGGATTTCAGCTATAATCCCATGTGAACGG